TGAAAATTTTCACTCATATTTCCATACAATAGGTGAGAGTAAAAACAGCAAACGCAAGGTTCCATACACTGTTTCAGTTCGATTTACACAGCTTTGATCAAAACATTCGCAGTTTCGAGAATAGTTTATTCTAAACCATAAGAAACTATTTAATCAGAAGTTGGAAGTTTCCGCTATTTCTCCTTCACTTTTTACATACAGTTCATTTTATTTGCCGGAAAGTGAGCCTTAGAAATTCAAAGCTTTAATAAATTCTGGCCCGCGCGTTCTAGTCTTTGTTACTTTAAACTTTATTAAAGGATCTCTGTGAACTGGGAATAAGTCAGCACAGAATTCGTTTGTCGGCAAGTCTCTGTAATCGTCCATCGTTCTGCTAGTGATAAGCTACCCGTTGACTCACTTTTCTGCTTGTTTGCAATTGGGACTGAGTCTTATTCCCCCAAAGAGAGAGAAAGAGTGTCTGGCAACATATTGTTTCCCATCAAAGATTTGTGAACTCGTTCTGGCAAACTCTCCAAGTGTTTATATATACACAGTTGTACGGACCTTATAACTTCATCGAGTGTCTTTTGGTCCATGACTTTCAAAACAGTTGCTTTACAGAATGACACTGATAACACTTGCCAGTTAGAACCCCTCTATAAAGAACCTGTTTAGAGGGTCTCAATGGGGTGGTGGCTTTTACGGTTATCGGCTAAAATTTTGGCTCTTTTACGGCTATCGGTTAATTTTTTCAGTTACGGTTAACAAAAAAGTTGAAAATTAATTTCTTTTGTTTCAAAGAGTTAAATATCAATAAACCTGTATTGTACTGAAGCTATTCTTTTTGAAAAATTTTAACATTTGATAGATTATACTAATTATAAAGTATTCCATTTGTAATATTATTTTACGCATAGAAATGTCAATAGTTAATGTAAAAATTGACTTTGGGAAAAAGCAAAAGCAGACACGCGAACGCCCAACTCAAGGCCGGGGCGCGACATTCATTTACAACAGAAATGGCCGTTTTCATACTAGAGACGGATTATTCGTGTGAGATGGGTTATACGTTTGATAATTCGCATCAGATAGGTAATACGTCTTAATTTGAAAGGGAGTGGTTTTTATTTTTGAATGAACAATCCGCCTGACTTCATCCGTCAATTTTGACGGACAGTTTATCCGTTCAGATTATCCGTTTCAGATAGCCTGTGTACAGCCGCCCCCTTCCCTCAGAAAAAATCGAAGAAGGGGTGTCTGTGGGGGATGGGGCAATTGTACACAGGTTAGTCTCAGACGGATAATCTATTTCTAGCTCTAGTTTGAAAACGACCAATGAAAAAATTCCCGTGTCCAGTGTTTTAAATGATACCGAAGGACTGTACAGAACGACTGTCTGCCGTTTGCTTGTCCATAGGCTTCATTATTTCGCGCGGCTAATGCGTTTTGGGTCACGTGGTCCGAGCGAGTTTTTTTCTCAGATACGCCACTGAAATCCCTTGACTGAGATTGCGTGGGAAGACGCCGTACATGGGACTAGGTGGCAATGTATACCGTAACGTCATAGAAAAACAGGGTATTGTTGGAGGGATTGTTGTTTATCAGCAACGTGTTTTACAAACAGTTACATCTCTGGGTGTTGTTTCACTAGTATTTCGAAGGCACGACCTCCTGAAAATCGCAAATTTTAATCCCCAGCAAGAAGCCAGGTTTTCGCTATGGAAAAAATTAGTTCCCCGAGACAGTGGCGGAAATGGATCTTAGGTCTAGGTGACAACCAAAAAGCGCTTGGCCTAACGTGCGTACGGAGCAAAAGTAGCCGGGAAATAAATAACGCAACCATAAGTGGGTTTAGCACCTTCCTTAAAATTAACAACTCTAGGGAACAATTCCTTTTACGGTTAACTCTTTTTTACCCTATTTACGGCTAACGGTTAAAATTTTTCAATTTTTACGGCTATCGACTAAATTTTTGGTCGTTTTACGCCTGTCGGTTAACCCCATTGAGACCCTCTGTTTAGCCTAAAATTTGAAACAGGTTATTATTTTCTACAGTTGTCTGAAAAAAGTATGTACTCTTGGGCAAATAAGATATTTTAGTCAACATTCAGAATCCTAGTTGGAGACATCGGGGCAGGTTGTCTGTCAGCTGCGTGACAAAGTAGCTTATTAAATAGTTTCAAAGCTGTTTGTACTTATCCCGGCAAGTGACTATCCCCTCTCCCCTAAAAGTCAAGTAATAGTCCCATTGCGGGAGGGACGGGACACGCAACGCCCTCTTTGTATGCGTGCGCAATTTTGTCTTTTCTCCACATACACGCTACTAAGAACTATCTTGGGCTTTGCCACAGGTAGTCCAATAAGTACCAGCTTAGCCTGTTTCATGCTCTAAGTTAGTGATATACAGAGATCGTTAAAACTGATGCGATAAACCCTCGGAGGCTATTAGGCTTTGACCTTCTTCTCGCTACTTTTTGAGAGACTGGCAGTGGCTACTAAACTGTTTAGAGCGGATATTTAAGTCGTTTTTGAAGATCATTTGTAGGCCTGGAATTGATTTCCAAAAACAGGTCAGTATAATAGCCTTGAAAGAACAATTTAGCTGTCATGTTTCTTTCTTTCTTTTATAACTTGTGCAGATGCTAAAGACAATGGAACCACTAGCACATTTACCAAGAGAAGGTGAGTAAATGATAATAATACGGGCACGCATGGGTCGATGAGGTCATAGCGGAGCTCCATGCGCGCGCGAGGGTAGCCTTATACCTAAGAAAATGGGGTAATCTACCCATCCGAGAAATTTTGGTAATAACGTGACCGTAAGCCGTCCGTCCGCACCACAGGTTTACCAGTGTAAAATGACTAAATCATCATGCATGGCAACCCAACTGTGTAGTCCCAAAAAATATAATTACCCACCCCCCCCCCCTACCCACGGAGGGCACTTTGCTTTAGACCCCCACCCCTGGAATTACTGTAATTTTTCAACTTGGTTGGGTACCCTCTGGAAAGGATATTTCCGTAAAAAAAGTTGTTGCACTATATTTTTATGGAAAGAGAATTTTTGCGATAAAATGAGAAAAATCTTTTCATTTATGTTAACACGGTGTCTGATGAACTCAAGGACGTTCTCAGCTAATAATCAACCATGCAGGCGATACCTTACACTACTGACTACACGAATAATGTCATCTGCAAAAGAACAATTTACATTCAGATTGCATGTAAACACCACATGGACTTTCATTACCTCATTAGTAAGAACATGTTACAAGAAGGCTTAGAACGCGACCAAATAACGGTGAATGAAATATGTAATAAAGCAACAACTAGATAACCGGAAGTTTATTCATGGGCCGATGACAATTATATAAAAGAAAACTATCGCATAAGCCATGAAAAAAAGGATTTGGCCGACCGTAGGTAAAAGATGATCAATGCAAGCAGTAATACTTGTTTTGAAGACCGGTAAAATACCCCCTGGAAAAAAAAGCGTCTATAAGCAGCCCCCAACCCCTCGGAAATTGCCTCCTTTTTGACCCAACCTCCCGCTGGAATTTCCGTCGCTCTCAATGAAGGGGGTGGGGGGTAAGGATATTTTCTGGAACTACACATTGCAACTCGAGGCTATTTGTGGTGGGAAATCGCATAGCCACCGGCGTCTTGTGAAGCTGAGGCAACTAAAGAGTCAGTCGAGACGAAAACGGAAAGCGGAAATTCTTTCTGTGTTCGTGTTGTCTAAACTATTAAGCTTAGTTTAATTGTCATGTTCACAAATTTGGAATATAGAGAAAGAGAAAGACGGAGGAAAAGAAAAAGTAGGCGACAGACCAACAAAGCTTAACGAGAAAAAGAACGACAGAGAGCTAGAGCGAGAGATCAAGAACAAAAGAGACATTTTTTGTTGAAAGAACAACGTTAAAGTTTTTTATCGGCCGTGAGAAAATGAGAAATGCTAGCGGCCTCCAAGGTGAAAATGAGCGGCAGTGCAAAAAAAAAAAAAAAAAAAAAAAACGAGGACAACAACACGTACGACATTTCCTCCATAAAACGTGTAACTAGGAATTCGAAGTTTCTGGAAGTTTCAACTTTTACTCGTGCAATTGAAGAAACGGCAGAGAAATGTACAAAAAAAAGTGCGCTGCACGTGCAACGTTTCTTTTTTTGGTTATTAGACCTATTGTTGTTTTTTTACCGTTCTCGTTGCCTTTGCCGCTTAAGGTAATCACTAATGTTACACGGACGATTCGCAACAACGATCTTTAGCGCAACACAGCGTTACAACATTGTTGTGTTATTGTTTTGAATGGCTGCAATATTGTTCCAACATTTTAACCCTGTGTTGCACTGAAAATCGTCATTGCGAATCGTTCCGTGTAACATCGCCTTTAGCCGCGGATTTTGTTTCTGAGCAAACTATAATTATTATCGAGAGCTTCGCTAAATCTAAATCTATATAGTATGTCAAGGTTGCTGATTGTCGCCCCATGTAAGGGAATTCGAATCCTACGGTTTCTGGAATCTGGATTTCCTTACATTGGGCGAAAAATGATTTACTTATAGGTCATGATGGGGTTATGGTTAAATTTGCTAACAATAAATGTGACTGCCTCCGATTACGTTCATTACCCCCGCAGGGTTAAGAAATCTCCTTCAAAAATAGAGAACTCATTGTCGGGCATGATGAGTGAAGGGTTTGAAAAGATCCAGACCAAGTCTGCTGAGCGAGTCAGAAGCAAACTCAACAAAGTTAACAGGTAGGAAAAAATAAGCGAAAGCTAATAATTTTAATAGATTTATTTGCTATGTGCGAGACAAGAAACTGCTAAATGAATTATTGGACTAATGAGTTAAAAGGGTATGTCACGAGAGTATTTAATATTTCTTAGAATAATAATATTATAGTAGCTTGTGAGCAAGCACGCTAGGGCGCTCTGGCGGCGAGACGGGAAAGGGAAGGAGAGTTTGCAACTACATCTCTGGAATTTGAATATCTGCATCAAAAAAGTCGATGCAAAATGCTGATTGGCGGAGATGACATTAGTAACGACGTCATTACTCTTGGCACGTGTTTTCAGTGTTTGTCAGACATTCGCAGGCTAAGGGCTTTATATCCAATAGGCGCTTATACAACCGGGATAGAAAAAGCGCTTCGAAACAAGCTATGGCAGTGCTTATTATATTAGGTTTTGCATTTACGTCTTTTTACTCAAGGTTCAACTAGTCATAATAAATTAAATTCAATTTAAGCTATTAGCTACCGGCGAGTTTATATCCGGTGGTGGGCTTATAATCGCATGATTTTTTCGCTTCCAGTAGATACTAGCCTAAAACAGGGCGGAGGCCGGAGGAGGGGTTGGGGGAGGGGTCTTATAAGCGGTTTAACGTATAAGTCAACTCCCTTTATGATTTTAAACTGGAAAGTTAATTAGCGTCCAATATTTTCCAATTGTGACAGATAGAGTGACCAATCTGGCTGATACGAATCGATACGAGGCAACCATACTTTATTTATCCTAGAGTTTACGCTTAGTTAATCAGCTAGTTTACTAGTTAACGGCCCTAGTTTATTTTAAAACTTAAAAACTAAAAATGTACAGTTATAATTAACATAACCGTAAAGCTAAGAACTAAGAATCGATAAACGATTCTTAAGTTCCAAACAATCCCTCTCTATGGTAATTACTATATGGGGCATACTGAACCAGAATATTCAGCAAAAGAACCCAACAGAGAGTTTTAATCCATCATCATTGCAAAACCAACAATCCCCGTTGCTCATGGGCACTACTAATAAAAGGACGCAACGTCAAAGACCGTTGCGACACGACGTCACGGCGGCCATATTAGAGTACAGGAAAAAAATCCTCTCGGCATTGAACTCTTCCTCATGTAAACTTTTTTCAACTTTCAACAAATTCGCATTGTAGATGATCGCGTCAGTAAAAACGATCTATACAATAATTGTCGATCAGGTATTTCAAAATTTCATGTTTTTTTTTTCCTAGGAAGGAGAGAGAATCATTTGTGAGGAAAGTACTGGTTTTAGAGCCGTCTTCGTTGTACAAAGTGGATTTAAAGCGAGTTCAGCAAGCTGGCACGGATGTCAGTGAAGATTGTGACAAAGAAGATGTGCAAACAGCGCGCTGGTGAGAATATATACAGCAGATCATTTTTAACTTCTAGATGTAACATTAGATGATTAGATTTGCTTTGACAATCAGCTGCCAAACACCATTTACCAAAAGTGAACTCGATGAGGCTCCCTCCCATAGCCAAAAGTAGGCTAGAAGAAACAAATACAATCGGTGACAAAATTAGTTGAGACCAAGAGCCATGCTCTTGTTTAGACACTTTGCAATAAAGGGTCTTTCAAACTTTTGCTAATTTAAAAAATGAGAAATTATCGCTTCCTCTTCCCCACCCCCTCCATGCAATGTTATGCTGCTGTTCGAGCCATCAGTAGAAAACAACAAACAGACAAACACCCTGACTTTGAATGGAAGGGAGAGGGGAGGGGTGTGGATTGATTTGTTCTCCAAAGTTTAATGACATTGTCTTTAACAATTTTGTGGCCGATTGTGGGTATTTTTCAACGTTTCTTATTCTAAAGACATTTTGAGTGCCTACTTCGTTGCTATGAAGTATGAAAAGACACCGAAGAGAAATGAATTACTTCCACTTAACTATGCTTATTTCCTACTATGCATGCAGGTTGAAGATTTAGAACGAGAGGCTCAAGAACTTAGACTTCAAAGAGCAATTGAAGTGATTTGCTTGTTTAGCAAGTTGTATCCATGCATTTGCAATGGACGACGTGACAACTATTCTTTTCGCCCAGGTTTGTTTTAATGTGTAAGATTTAAGGCGGTCTACTGTTAAACATTCAAAAATTATTTGACGTTTACAGAAAACTTAAAGCGTAATATTCAAGTACAACAATTCCTCAAGTTGCGAAATGATTAAGTAAGAACTGTGGAAAACAAGACCCCCTAAATGTGGGTACATTGGGCCGCTGCCCTGCCGAACAAATTAATCTGGATAGACAGAATAGCTTTAAAGCAATATTAGACAAAACACAGCTAATTAAGAACTTATTTTGCAAAATCGCCACTAAACAAAACAAAATGTCATATATTTTTTTATAAAAATAGGACGAGGGTAATAATTTTCGGAAGTTCCAGCTAGATCAATTTAGTCACCTTATACTGTCATGTAATAATTTTGGTTGATGAAGGATTTGGATTGGGGTATACAATGTGGAAATGTCCGAGTTAAAAATAATACCTGTCTTTATTTCTCGTTTCAAAAGGGTTATTTGCTTATTTATTTTTTTATTCGTATTGGTAGAGTCGACAATTTCCATTCTACGTATTTAAATCTGATATGACCCACCCTCACCCATCCTCCGCCATCAATAGTCAAAAGATTGGCCCCAACGAGACACGCATCGCCTTCTGGGAGATCCGTCCGCCATTTTGTCTTCAAGTGACCTCGATGAAGAAGCACAATTTTCTTTGGGCTTTGCCACAGGCAGCCCGATAATGATTGCAAAGCGAATTGTAAAGCGCTTTGGTCAATTAGTGGAGTTAGCGCTATATAAATTATGTTATGTATATATATTATGTTATGTTGTTGCAACACCAAATACCATTGTCAGGCTCCTGCATTGCTCTATTTTTTGTTGGCTAAGCTTTGTCTGGTTGTCCAGTCCCTGCCCTCATTACCAATGATGGCTGCATTGAAGGTCAGCGATCATTAACTTATTTCGGCAGAGAATAAATGGTTTTATGCAGCTAGTTACACTGTCAGGCTAATGTTTACTGGCTAGAGGGGGTACACTACAAACGAGACCTCGACTACTTATTGTTTAATTCAGTACAGGCCTGATTGCAGGCCTCTTTTTCTCCAGCTTCAACACAAATTAAGTTTCAGCTTTTACGTGTAGTTTTCAGAATTCAGAGCAGTCATCCATGGGTGATTCGATCAATCTTTCATTGCCTTGGCCTGGATAAAATGGATTGATAATAACTGAGACGCAAATCCTAGTTCATTTTTTGTAGTTGCTTTAAAAAAGAAAAGGTTAAAAAAAGGTCAAAGGCTTGTTTATAGTGGAAATTGCACTTAGCTTGTCCAGCTAATTTACAGGCACTCCACTCAAATATTTAGAAACAAATAATTCAAATACATCATAACAGGATTAAAAACCCCAACTGGCAGAAGGCAACCAGTTGGCTATTTACAAGCGGGGCCGAGAATTTGAACTCGGGACGACCGAGCACAAATCCAGCAAGTGGCCAGAGCGAGACTCGAACCCGGGACCGCCGGATTGCGAGTCCGACGCGCTGACCACTCGGCCACGCTGCCTCTGCTTTCACTGTGTTGATTCACCACGACTATTACTCTAGTGAACATCTTTAATACTCCCATATAACAGGAAAGGAGCTCGAGTGTGTGACAACTTTTCTTTCCTTTTTCTTTCTTTTATACTTGGATTAAGCGGACACCGGTGAAAGACCTCCTCTGCTTTAAGGGCTATGTCATGGTAAGTTTGCAATGTTGTTCAAAGCTGAGCTAAATTTCCTCAGTCTCCTTTTTTATAGTCGGAAATCTAAAAAAAAGAGAAAGCAAATGATTCTCTGACGGAAAACAGAGCATGACCAGTTTTTGGTCATTTTTTAACAGTTCAAGAGTTTTTGCAAAGAATTTTGTTTTTCAAGTTACAGTATGTTGCATCCAAGCCGTCGGATACCTTCAGGAAAAACGTACTTGTATATGAGATATGATGGCGTAGTAGTTTTAATTAGTATATACTAAAACAGTGGATAGTGTTTTTCGCGCCCTCTGATTGGCTACTCAACCTCCCGATATCCAGTGCTATTCACTGATTCACCTCCAGTTACCGCAACGCCAAAGTCGCGTAAGTTACGAGCGTAATAGCTTTCCAGGTACTTTAATGGCGAAACAAACAGAGAAACTTCACAAATAATCAATCAAGCTGTTACCGGAATACACGAAGAAGGTGACGAAATTCGGTTTGGAAGTTTAAACTGGTGAAGCTTTGACTTGAATTCATCCATGAAACGAGTGAAAAAGTTTTTTGTTATGCAAATTAAGTCTTGCGTTTCTTTATTTACTATTTGTCATGTTCATAAAACGAAGCTTGAAACTACATTTAATAGGTTTTAACAGAATGGTTTCAAACACAAAAAGAATCACGACTCCTTTTCAAGAAATTTCCCAGCGCGCAAGAGCTTAACAAATGCAATGCCTTTTAAAACTTTATTTGTCTGCCAGAAAACGCGACGGCCGTTCGGTCATTGCGCTCAATTATCTCACTGTTTCAGTGTATACTAATATCCACCACTACTAGCCACCTCCACTTTGCTGAATAATTGTTATATAGAACTGAACTATTATCTCAGTATTATTATTATTATTATTGTTATTATTATTATTACTATTATTATTATTATTATTATTATTATTATTATTATTGTTGTTGTCCAGACCTGCGATAAAATGGCTCGGAAGCTATTTAACCTCGCGATACCAATTTGTGCGAATAAATACAACTCTGTCGACCAAACTACCTGTTAGCTCTGGCGTTCCACAAGGGAGCATCCTTGGCCCATTACTCTTTAACATCTACGTTAATGATCTCCCTTCTGTGCCAGAAAATTGTACATCGCAGTGTTACGTCGACGATACCAAACTTCTCATGTCATTTCAACTCCGCGATCAGCACGAAACGATAGAAAAAATGAACAAGGACTTGTTGAGCATTAGGAATTGGTGCCTTGATAATCAGCTTTTACTCAACCCAGATAAAACAAAACTAGTGATATTCGGCAGCCGGCAAATGACTGCTAAGGTTAGCGACTTTAGGCTATTTCTATTGGGGAAGGAACTCGAGCCCGTTAAGGCTGCAAGAGACCTTGGTGTCACACTGGACTCTAACTTAACATATAATGAGCATATTGTTTCTACTGTATCCTCATGCATGTCACGTTTGGGCCAAATTAACCGCGTTAAGCATATTTTTAATAAACACGCGCTAATTATTATTATAAATGCCTTAGTATTTAGTAAATTATTGTATTGCTCTTCTGTTTGGAGCAATACTACTCAAACTAATCTGGACAAGCTCCAAGCAGTACAGAATTTCGCTTGTCGTATTTTGAGCGGCGCTAAAAAATTCGATCACATAACTCCTTTGCTAAAAGACTTGCGCTGGCTACCAATCAGGCAACAACTTTATTTTCGTTTTGCTGTTCTGGTTTTTAAGTGCATGACGAGTTGTGCTCCGGAGTATTTGACATCGAAGCTCGTTGGAAGATCCGCCGTCTCGACAAGGAACACGAGAAATTCTCAACTTTTGAACATACCACTCTTCCGCACTGCCAGCGGCCAAAGGACCTTTCAATATAGAGCAACCTCTCTCTGGAACGAGTTGCAGCCTGCGCTCAAACTTAGCCCATCCGTGACGGAATTCAAGTGTTCACTCAGGCAAAAGCTTCTTAATGACTGCTTTATTTAATTAATTTAATTAATTTTATTGACCTTTGTCTTCTTTTATCATTGTTATATTCTTATTGTCATGTACTTGGTTTACAATTTTGTAATGTAAAATTGACTCTGAAAAGCCCCGTGGGGACGAGCCAATAAAGTATGTATGTATGTATGTATGTTGTAGTTTCAAAGTTATGGTTTTATAATTGTAATACTAAAAGATCATAACAAAACTTCTTTAAATCACAGTTCTTCTTTTTTTTCTTTCTTATTCTTCACTTTAGTTTCTTCTTGTGAATATACTGAACACCTCAACAGGAACGTTCGACGAATGGATGAATCAAAGGAAACTTTTGCCTGCAGTCAAGTCTAACTGACTTCAGTTATCACTGACTTTAATATCCCTCTATGACTATACTGTTTACTTAAGCGTTAATTTGATGGCGCAGTTTGCAATATGCCCTCATTTTTCAAGATAATAATAAAGTTTGCTGTTTATTTAATTTTGTCAAACTGGATTAAGCAAATCCGAGCTGACTGACTGTGTAACACCTTATAGGAGTGTTTTTTGGTTTTCTTTGGAAGTATCACAGAACGGATTTGTTCATATTACTAAAAGTGGTGATTGGCTGACTTAGGGC